AGTATATCACTCCACATACAATATATATATCCAATGTTTTAAAAGTGTGCACTGAAACGGCATGATATAGGGTGTAGTTGTGGCTTGGAATGGAGGTGCAGTACAGTGACCAGTGGGGCATAAAGGCTGCTGTTGTATCCAGGGTTTCATGTTGTGGTACCCTAATGACTGAGCGCACAAGGAGGCCAGAGGTGGCTAGCAGCCTTGAGCAAAAGTAAGCCCTGGAAGTGCCCATCCTCATTTGGTAACCCCATTAAGATGGCTTCACTGGCTAAAATCCTCTGGCTTTATCTGTTACAACGCAAGACTGAATCAAAATTTATTACAATTTCTTCCTGTAGTAATTTTTTCCTATACTTTCTATTTTGAAACATAAAGATATTAACTAATAATAAAGAAACATGTATAAAATATGTAAATGAATAACTAATAAATAGGCTTTTCATTTTCTATCAGCCACAAAGCTCTCACAGCTATAAGAAAAATCTGAATCATTAGCGAAGGAGAGTGGGTGGTTTCACATAAGTTGTCTTGCAAATGTACTTACTCCCACTTTTTTCTATTTGTATATGTAAAGTAGAACTGTTGTGCTTTCCCTTATAGTTAGTCATGGATCCTCATATTCAGCATGGCCAACATGAATAATGAAAAATAATTCTACTAGAGACCAAAAATGAAAAAATATAGAGAGAGCTAGAAATGAGCATTATAGGCCACCTTTCAGTACTGTGGACAATAGTGTTCATCTTTCTTACATTTTTAAGTGCAGTATGTCATTTTTGAACTTTTAGTAAGAAAAACAAACTATGTGTTTATTTCTGCTCTTTCAAGAATAATTTTTCCAGTCTGCAGATATGTGCCCCCTCTAAGATGATGTTTGTAATAAATTTCTGAGTGTAAGTTTTGAACATTTTTCACATTCCACATTAAATCAAACTTTAAGTGTTTTTGACCAAGAATCACATTTTGACTTTCTTTCTTTCTTTGAAGATGTAAATGTTCAATTAAAGATCAAAAGAAGATCTAAATTACTTTTCCTGTCAGCATCAGATGACCGACAGGCCTGTGGAAGTAAATGTGCCTGCCAGCCTCCACAAAGCATGTCATTATGGGAGCCTGACCCTCTCTGTCTCGCTACTCTCATCACTGAATTTGCCATGCAATTTACAGTAGTTCTGAGAAATCACGATAAATTCTCTCATGTTTTCAGTAAACCTACTATAAGTCCTTGCATACATTGTAGTGTTGAGAAATAAATGTTTGTAGGTTGAAGCATGTGACCTTTGGGTTTTTAAAGAGGTCTTAGAACCACGAGAGGAAACTTGTCATTAGAGGAATATGTGGAAACAAGGATGTGGCAGGAGCTGCAATTGACTATCACTTTTCCAGCGACCCATGTTAAAGCTCTACAGTCAAAGAGGCACAGCTGACATTTTATTAAGGCGGAATGACTGTTTTAAGGATTCGGCACATTTTCGATGGTGGCGACACGGATACAGATGGGATTTCAAGCATAGGTTTTCCAGCTTGGCTAAAGTCTAACGTGTCCACCTTCAATTATACTAATTTTTTTTTTTTACATTTTATTTTTATTGTCCATTTTTCCATGTTCTTTCATCCTTACTCCGTTTTGTGCAAATTTAATTTCCTCTTGTTTGTGCATAGCAGCCTAACACTCTTGAACAGATTCATAAAGCTTGGTTTCAAAACGGCTTTCACGTAGGTAACGTGTCTGGTACTTTCCTTGACCCTGGTTGGTGGGGCTGGATGTAGGAATACAAATGGACAGCATATTTTGCTCAGATGTTAAACACTCGCTATTACCCTACCCTGCAGGCACCTACATAGTAAGTTCATGTGATACCAGATTAGCCTCTTGCAAGAACAGTGAAAGTAATTCTCTGGAAAATTCAGGAAATGTTTACCACCAGAAGAGTCATTTTTGAGTAATTTGTGCTCCAGGAAATCTGTAGGGAGCTGCTAATGAATGTGACTACAAAGTATAGATTAGTCTATCAACATTATTAATATGTGTGATTTAAAATCTTTTACCCGATGTGACTGTTCTGCAGTGGGCTATGTGAGTATTTGATATTTAACTGGTTATTTTTATTGCATTATTGCTCTGTTTTTGTTACATTTAATACATTCTGACTGTCTTTGGCAGTACAAATGAATCTAACTGAAAGTAGCTTACTTTGATAATAAAGTTTCACTTTAATTCTGACTAGAGTCAAGCCACTGATCAAGCCTTGCTGCTGAAAACGAGCAAATCTTTAAAAATAACCGTTGTTCATTTTTGTATTCATGATCAGTTTTTGGCAAACTCAGAGGGAGCCAATAAAGAATGAGGAAAAAGAGCCACTTGTAGCTCAAGAGTTGCTGGTTCCTGTCCTAAATTGCCAGATCTGAAAAACAGGCCAACTTTGGCGAATGTCCTGAGTTGATTCTTCTTCAATTGCCAATAATTCATGTATGAATACATGAATATAGATGGATACTGTCTACTATGGTCTTCGTTACAGTACACTTTTCTGCTGCCTTTAACCTGAACCCAGCAGGCAGATGAAGGACCTTACTGTACAAATTGTTACTTTACACAGTTTTTGCTTCGTCATCAAACCTCTTTGACTCAGACTTTTTGGGTCATTTTGAGTCAGCAAGTTTTACCACGTCTTCAAACTGAGAGGTCCTTGATGATTACTTTTTTTTTTCTCGCTTGCTTTGCCTTTATGACTGGCGACACGCCACCACCATGAAGACATCACCAGAGAGCAGCCACTGCAATGCATCAGCTTAGTCCTTTCCATATATTTAAGTGATTGCTGACATTATTTATGAAGGGAATGAAAAATAAAGTCTGCATTGCAATAACATTAAAAAAGAGAGATCTATAATTTATTTGGCCTGCCACAAGTCAGCACTCTTCGCCACCAAACCCCCTACGCACATCTCATTTCTGTGCATTTGCAGATTTCGCCTCCCTCCTCTTTTCCCTCTCAGTAGCACAGGGGGCCCATCTTTAGGGGGTGGTAGGTTGCTTTTTGGGGGTGTTTAGGGGTATCAAGGTAGTCCTGGAGGGGAGTCGGCGCAGGACTTTTGGCTCCGGCCTGGAAATGCCTTCACGTTTACAAACAAACTGGCTCTTTCGCTCACCCTGTTTGCCTTTGTGGCTTTAATTTTTTTTCAAGGCCTGTACAGGCAAACACACAGCAGGAAACACTGACTTGTTGATCGCCTTCACAGAACAGCTCATAAACCCAGCCAGTATGAATGTAAGGGGCCTGTGTGTGTGCGCACGCGCGTGCATGTATCGGTTGTGTACTTCAGAGGAGCGATATTTCCTCCTCCCCCTTCTTCTTCTTCTTCTTTTTTTTCCTAATCAACCTAAGGAGTGTTATGGAAGTAAACAAGCAAATAATTATTAAGCATTGAATCATGCGATTGAGGAAGAGGAAAGCTAACATGTCCTTAAAGTCGAGTTTCACTGTAAATAAGAAATTACAGTTTGATTGTCCAGCCATGTTTGTCTGTTCCTGTTTATGGATGTTGCTTAGAAACAATACTAAATCACATTGTTCAACATGTGGCATCTTCTCACACTCTCTCTTTTGCCCTCTTCCCTGCTCGCTCGCTCAGCCGCTGTGCGTTTGTAAACATGCAACTGGGATACATGGCCTCATTGTTTTGCATCATTATTACTGACAGGCCTAAACGACTTGAATGATGGGAAGCCCTCATACAAAATTAACCCAGCCCCGTGTGTTTACTCTGCCTAAATCATGTTGCTCATTGGGTTGAAACAGAATGTGGGGGGAAATGGGCCTCACATCCTGACATCTGCAAAGCACCTGTCCTGAGCCATGCATGCTAGCAGGGCCAGAGCACATTCAGACAGCTATCTCCCCTCATTTTACTCTCATGCCTTGCAAAACGCCATGACTGTCATTTTGAAAAATGTGTTTCAAAATGTATTTTCTGCTAAATATTGAAGCCTACCTTACTAGGATGATGTCCTAAATGCATCATGGTGATATCAGCTGATTTAATGTATCCTTATCTTTACATGTAAGTGCATTTTCTCTGTCAGTCGATGCCTTTATCCATTTTTGAGTAATGCTCATTGTTTAAAAAACAAAAAAAGAAAATCAACTTGCATACCACCCAGCATGCATCATACTGTACTTGTAGGGGGGTGGCCAGTCTCTTCCCTGGACACATGCCTTGTTTTACCATTCATTATTAGACAGCTCTCCAGGATCACATGACTACCTGTCCCACTAACCTCCCACCAGACCTTATCAGTGGTTGTACAGCAATAGTTTCCTGCAAGGCTTTTCTAGTTGGAGGGAGTTGTGTAAGCTACACTGGCTGAGAACAAAGCTATGCTTCAACAAAAGGGAGGAGGCTGGCACTGCTGGGAAAGGTGCCTGGCCTTCATCAGCCATCGCCACCAATTCGGAAGTGAGTCACTCCTCTGGCGTGTGCAGAATCTCTCTCAAAGGTCACCTGCGCTGACTGCAGCACTCCGCCATGCCATTGCATAATTCCATCAGTACTGTAGCAACAAGGCTGCAGGAGAATGCCTGTATTTATATTTTAGACATGGCAGATCAGAAAAGTTGGACAAGCACTGAGAAGGAAAACTACACCAGGGAACTGCAGTGAAGCACATTTTATGAAATTAACTCACCATGGTTCATTGTTGTTTTGCAAATTAACTCTAAACTTGAAACAAAAAACAGTGTGTTCATCTTGTTTTTGTTCAAACTCTTCTTAAACACTCTCTCAGATTCTTCTTTTATATGTCATAAAAGATATGAGGTATGATTTTCTTACTAAATTACTGCTCTGTTACTGAAGCACATCAACCTACATGACTAGTCTATCATGACATCGATCAGCATCTAAATGTGCCCCCTCATATGATTCAGTAGTGCTCAGTGGATGGAGTGCTTTGCCTGACTGCTGACTGTAACTGTGTCTGTTTCCTGTCCCAGATAACTGCAGTATGTAGAGAGGCTGCCCTCCTGGCCCTGCAAGAGGACATCAAAGCTCGGCACATCGAAGCCAGACACTTTGAAAGTGCCCTGAACACTGTGAAGCCCCGAATCCCTGACTCTGTCATCCAGTCGTATATCAGCTATCAGCAGCAACACAGTGGCCTGTGTTTCTTCTGACCACACAGCTATGGAAAAAGTCAAAATTAGGATTTTCTTCTTTTTATTAGTTTGGAGTTGTGTATATGTGTTAACTGTACCAGTCTGCTTCATTACACAGTGTTAAATGTTTTCAAACCACAACGTTAGGCCAAAGAATCTCATCAGTTGTAAATCGCTGACTTTAAAATAAGACTCTGTTTTTATTGCAGCATTGACACTATTGCTTTATTTTTTGACTTTGAAGGATATGGTGTGCTGTCATGTTTGATCAAATAAAAATGATAATGTATTCATACTGTCATCGATCCACTTATTGTCTTTGGTTGCCTTATTTTAATCCCATATAACAGTGGTGAGCCAGTGTGGTAGTTTGCACTGTTAAAGACATCCAGCCGTGAATTTACAGCAGTATCAGCGTGCTGAGAAAACCCGTAAACTAACACGTCCCAAATCACGTTAAAGCAGTGCAGTCTTATAGATCTGATTGGATTTAAATACCTCCTATGCTCTGGTTTGTTGTAGCTTAACATTCACCTATAAATCTGCCCGTCCTACATGTTTCCAGTCCCACTTTGTGTAATTTATGAGTTGTGGCTCTTCTGGATTTTGAATAACTCCTCCAGTCAAATCACAGGTTTTTCTGCGTTTTCAGGACATGTTGGGTAAAGCTGCAATAAAATCTAAATTGGTAAAAACGTTGTCTAACTGATTATACAGTTGGTGGGCAGTGTGAGCCCTCTAATCAGAATATTCCACAGGCACATGGACATCTATGGAATTAAATAGCAGCATTAGACAAGGACCCCTGATGGTTCCTAAACCCCGAGTTTGGTGAACCGCTGCTCCGCATCCACGGGGAGAAAAAACAGCCGGGCTGGTATATTCATCACATCTACCCATGGAAAATCAACTAATTGCTGTAATCGTGAGATTTCCGTCCGCACTTCAGACCACTGAGAGCAGGGATCCAGGCGGCCATCTGTCGGTCTACCAGGGCTTTCTTTATCATCAAGAAGCTACATTTTTACATCGGGCCTGAAAAAAACAAACAACCTCTAAGTTATTATTGCACCGCGGAGTCACTTTTACACTCCGCAGGTCTTTTTGTTCGATTCTTTTTTTAAACATTTGCTGACCCGAAATGGCACTGGGGGTCATTCATCTATTGATTTTTCCATTTGAATAGGATAAATTGACTTTGTATTGAACTTCCTTTTCTCATGGATCCGGATGTAGCGCATCCGCGACACCAATCAAACCAGACAGTCAGGAACAGAGAAGAGGGGGGTGGCAGGAGTGAGGAGGGGAGCCTTTCCCCCCTGGCTGCAGGGCAGCTTTTTTCTTAAGGTGGTCTGAAGCTACAGCGCACACTGCCCCGCAAATCCCCACCCCACCGCTGCCCAAACAGAAATCAACACAGAACTCCTCTGATAGTGATTTCATATCAGAGAATCGTACAAACTGAACATTCATTGCCACACGTTGTGTTTCCTCTGATGACACGAGTTAGTGCGTAATGGGAACATTCCACAGAGGACAGAGGACATCCTGTTGATGCTTCCTCTGTGAGTTGTCTGTACAATGACACAGCTGTGTGGGCAGAAACTGGTTGGGCTCGAGTCTGTATTTAATTCACAGAGACTAATGAGTTAGATGTGTATGGATCCCTATTTCACAGCAGTGAACAGGTAGCTACAGAGCACAGACACGATGAAACTGCAGTTTAGGAGCTACTTTACTCAATATATGATTCTTTCTTATTTCTATAACAAACTTTTCTCTATTCGTATGAGGTTCCTTGACATGGAAAGATTTAACCTAATATAACCATATTTATTAAACTTATATTTCTCATCCAAACCCTATAATAATTACCTTTGATGTTGTTGTCGTTAATCTTACTCATATTTTCCTCTAAAATCCTATAAAAATATTTTTTGTGCCCAGTACAAATATATCAAATGCCCCTTTTGAAACAATATGCGGTTTATTTTTCAGCTTATAAGGACCATCGTGGTATTTGGGTGCACATTTTTCGAAACATGGACAAAAAATAAATAAATAAATCAGAAATTCTGAATCTACGTAAAGTGGTTTTCTTTCCTTTTTTTTGATGCGTGTGTATGGTACCAATAATGACAACTCAGCAATGTTATAAATAAATACGGCGTTTAATACGTCACTATTAGTCACATCACCCTCATTCACACCATTAATCATAACCCACAAGAACGGAAACTAGTATTTTTTTTCCTTCCCCTAACCCCCTCGTTGAGTCAACGTTTGCGTTTTTAAAAAGCCGTTCCACCTTAACCAGTGCACACATCTCTATCGCCCGGCCTTCCACATCTGCCCAATGAATCAGGAACGGATGCGATGTATCCTTTTTCAGCGGAGTGGCTGGCCAATGGGAGTTGGATTGTCGAGCAAACACTAAGCCCTGAGCCCCCATTCATCAGTGCTGAACAGGCCCGCAGAGCAGAAGAGAGCGCACCGCTGTCTGCAACATAACGACGCTTTTGCACAAGAGCGCAGATATCCCGCAACAATAACTAACAGCCAGAACTCAAATACAATTCTCAGCAGATACGCGAGGAGGAGCAACTTTTGGATATAAGCTCGCGCGTGTTTATTTATTTATTTTTTCCTCTCAGCCTTCTTCATCAGAGCTCCGCCGTGGATTTACTTTATCTTGGGACAGATGCACGCGTAACACACGCTGAACTTTTCAGTACGACTTAACCGAAAAAAATAAATAAAAAGGGAATAACGCAAAGGGATACATTCGCACTTGGATTAACAGACTGAATGTTATGCATTAGACCTCATAATCTACAGCTGGACATTGCCCCTTCCGTTTGGATGGAGTTTTGGTAGATTATTTGGTTGATGGATTCGACGCTATGGATGCTTGCATATAGGTATGCATTTTCTTAGTGATTTTACGCTTATTTTGCGCATTTTGCTTTGGTTTTAGGGCATTTGTTGCCCGATAGTAGGGCACGTAGCTACCTAGAAAGCGCCGCTGCAGCAATAAAGTCCAAATGTTTTGCTGTGCGCAAAGACTTTTCGTCTTATTTTCCATGTGTTCGCCATGAAATAAAGAATCCGCTGTGGGTTGAACTGATCGCGACTACTTGGTGAAGTTGATGGATTTCCACGCCAGTGTTGTTCCGAGGCTGTGCTGTAACAAACACCCCTCCCCCATGGCGGTTGTTTTCATTCATAAGTTTTGCCCGTCTTACGCGTCCTGTAATGTCTCTTCATCTCCGGCTCTGGTTTTTATAAGATCCTGTTTTTATTACTGCAAACAACGCCTTCTCATGTGAGCGCGTTCTGTGCATATGATCCTATTTAAAGTGCGCCATTTGACGGATAGACTATTAAATGTATAGATAAATATTTTTAATGTAGTTGAAACGTGAGTTTGTTTATGTGCAAAGCCGCAAAATCGATCTTTCTGCTTTGATTGTAGTAGTTTTTATTTTTATTTAATCGTTAATAGTTTTAAGGAGCCCTTCACGGGACACCTAGGCTTTATGTTTTTGTAAACTGTAAGTTTCGGCCTCCTGCAGGTCGGCTGTGCTTAATAACATCCCCAAAGACTCAAGTTCAAATTCCTAATCGTATTCCTATAATACGATATATATATATATATATATATATATATATATATATATATATATATATATATATAAAATGTGTGTGTGTGTGTGTGTGTTCATATTGACTTCAAAAATTGGGGGCTTCTCGGAACTGAAATAAGGTTTTAATCTGACGATTTTCGAGCGTTTTTTAACTGCCGTCTATATTTTGTCGGAACTTGATCTGACCTTAGTTTTTTAGCTCTACTTTTGTCCCCGTTTCCCTGAAATCCTTTTTGATGTAGTAATAGAATACTAAGTGAGGCAGCTCATTTAGTTCCCTTGGATAGTGTCCTCGTTTCGTCGCCGCGGTGCATTTAAATGTTAACTAGTCATACAAATGTAAATGAGCAGGGGAAGCATTTGTAGGGCCTGCTGAAGTTTAGATGTGTGCCTGTTGGGGAGGAAGGTACAAAAAGTCTTGTTAATAGTCAACTTTTTCCCGGGTTGCCTCACTTAACGGGCTCAAAAGTGACATATTGTCATGTTGACAGGGTGAAGACAGTTGGTCTGGATTAACTATAAAGACTTATTTATTTGTCATTAATTTATAAACACTGTTCAGCATCTTATGTTATAGCTGTGCAATAACTGCTATGGTATGCGTCAAGAATGTTTGTAATGATATATTAGTATTAGATTTTTATTAGTATTATTTCTGAATCCAAAAACACTTGGGATTGTGTTAACCCCTCTTCCATCAGGACTGTGTTTCCTAGAACAAGGATTTTTATTTTTTGCTTGACTGTTTCTGATCATATCTCCTGCCTCTTCCTTGTCTCTCCCCCCCCCCCCCCCCCCCGGCAGGTTTTCCGATGCATGTCCACGGTGAATGTCGGAAGTGGTGATTCCCCCAGATGGAGCTCCAAAGTCAACATGGCCCTGGCGGTTCATTAGTGGTGATCCAACAGCCTTCCCTAGAGAGTCGGCAGAGGTCGGATTACGAGCGGGAGTTCCAGCATGCCGGCATTTTCTCTCTGGAACAAATCAAGGCCATCCGCTCTAGCAACGAGTACACTGAGGGACCCTCAGTGGTTCGGAGGCCCCCTGCACCCCGGATGGTCTCCAGACCCCATGAAAAGCAGGAGAGGACTCACGAGGTCATCCTCGTCAATGTGAACAACAATTATGAGCACCGGTCATCAGGTCACCACCATCATGCTGGGGGCAGTGTGTTGGTTGGGGGACAGCAGTATGGTGGGCCTCGGGCACCAGGGCTCAGCCGCTCTACTAGCACAGGAAGCGCCGCCAGCTCAGGGAGCAACAGCAGTGCCTCCTCTGAGCAGGGACTCTTGGCACGCTCACCCCCCACCAGACCTGGCATTAGCTTACAGCATCACCACCGAGTGGATCGGCCTGTTCGGACTCAGCCGAAGCCCAAGGCCCTTTTACAGCCCCAGCAGGGACCTCAATTTTACCAGCCTCCACTAGAGGCTCCACTCAAGCCCCAGGGCAAAGGGAAATCAGACTTTTCTGGCTCTGGCAACGAGGTGGTGGCTGCTGCTGGGCACCAGTTCATCTGCGAGCGCTGTGGGAAGTGCAAGTGCACCGACTGCACAGCACCCAGGAGCCTGCCTTCATGTCTGGCGTGTAATGGCCAGTGCCTCTGCTCTGCTGAGAGTGCACTGGAGCACGGCACGTGTATGTGCCT